AGAGCCTTAAAATTGGTATAATAACTGTAAATAATAAATATCCAGAAAAAAAAAGCTAAATACTGTCCGAGAAAAGAATAATAATTAACCTCAGTCCACATTTCACGCACGTTCTCTAGAACCATATTGCAGTGCCGATCGAAGGCTCTCACATGGCCCAAAAGCTTTCTGTTATTGCGGCAGTTGATGAGGACCTAAAAAAGGCAATGAACACAGAATCCATTCATGCCCAAAAAATAAAAAAAGGCAAGACGGATAAGAATGGAGAATCATCATATAACAGTGATTAATAAGATATAAATTGGCCTTTGGCGAGTACCTGTGTATTATTTTTAACACTCATCATCAAGACAGACAGTGGTCCTGTATGGAACTCCTCTTCCTCATTCTTCCCCTGCAACGAGTATTACGTGAAGTGAAGTCAGGTAAAATAAAGAATAAGGATGTTTTGTGATTTAACCACAAGGTTACAAGAGCACATGTTTGACAAAGATAAGCAAATAGTCAAATACATGTCCTAAATATAAATTACAATACCCCAAGTTCAAAATAAGTTGGGAATGTGCTAGAAAAATGTTAAGGGATTTATAGGAGATGCCCGGTTTTGCTATGAAGCTAACAGTTGGCTCCATACTGGAGCCAACCTTCCATTATAGGCAAAGCTATCATTAAACAAAAAAAAAAGGAGGTAATACACGTACATACTCAAGGCGATTGGAAGAAATGGAGAAAGATAAAAGGCTAAGATATCTTACCGGAACATCCTCATCCATTGGCCGACTGCAGATCATAAACAACAACAAAAAAGTGTCAGCAAACTCAAATTAAACTACAATCTGAAAAAAAAAAAGAAAGAAAAAAGGTGAAAATAACAATAAACATAATAAATTAAAGCAACATAGCACTTAAAAAGTTGATCATTCATTTCTAAAATAGTAACTCAATTACTCAAAATAATGCTAGTCCAAAAGGCAGGAGAAAGTGAACAAGCTCTAATCTGTTGTAACTACATAAAATTCCAATCTTCAACTAACCCAAACTAGGGCTTCACGAAACTTAATTAAAAAAAAAAAAGAAAAAAAAAATCTCCGTAACTAAAATTCACAAGTCAGGTACCAAAATTTAGGGTTTTTAGCCACAAGGAACAAGAAAAATCGAATTTCGAAATTCAAAACGAAAGCAACTGTTCCATATAGACTCACCTCATATTCAACTAAAATACGATCTCCACGTAAAGATTTAGCCTCGACCAGCTTCAGTTTACACTCCTGAAAATCAATGTTAGGGTTTATACAATAAAGCGAAAAACTCTCTGCATATGCCAAAATCATACGCTACGACTCGAGAATGTAAAATCGCACAACACGAGAATTGAGAGAAATTAGAAGACGGAAAACTAACCGGCGGCGATTTGAGGTTTTGGGCGAGGGCTTCGGCGACCTGTAGTTCTCTGATTCGCCGGCAAGGGAAAACTTTAGAAATAAGGAGGCAATTTTTTCGAAGTGCCGATAGATAGATGTAAAGATGGGCCGATGGAAATAAAATGGGCCTCATATCATGTGTGGAGATTACTATGATATAGGTGAGGCCCATAGTAAATTGGAGAGATGTCAAATTAGGAATATTTATTTTGTTGTTAATTTATTATTTGAATGGATTTTTAGTTGGTCTGAATTTTAATAATCTAATAATAACACTTAAAATGTATCATTTATTTATTTTCTTGATGAGAAAAAAAATGAAATAAAATAGAACGTTCATACGTGTAAAGAATTGTTTGGATAACACTTTAAAATGTGTCTATCAACCACGTGTCAAGATTTCGTGATCTTTCAATCACATAGATCTGACAGATTAATATTCTACTAATAGCATATTAGTTCATACATAACATGTGGATTTACTCTATTATGCAATCATATTGGTGCTATATGTGATCATAACTATCTTGAGTGAAAGAGAAGTGTTTTACAATTGTGATGTGAAAATGAAAAATTATTTATTCTTGTGATATATATAAAAAAAATAAAAAAAAAAGAACGTGAATGAACTCTACTAATGATATAGTGATCAAATTAAAAAAGGCTAGTGCATTTTCCAAAAGAAATCACACTTATTATAAAATTCAAAACAACTCCAAAAAAAAAAAAAAGAAATAGATTAAATTATGTAGCTGTTCTACGACCATTCCTCAAGCCACATAACCTCACGTTCAAAGGTCTCTTAACAGGTTTCATTGTCTTCACCATCGGATCATCCACCGGAGGGCTCACCTGGCCAGCCAGATTCACGGCGTGGGGCCCACCATCTCCGGCTCGTTCGTCAAGCCACTCTATGATGTCCCGAAAAACGGCATCGATGTTCTCGTCCGGCTCACCAGCTGTCAGGGCGTGCCACATCCCGGGATACAATTTGATTTTCTTGTCCGAGCTGCCGGCTCGTTTGTAGAGGGCCCGGCTAACTTCTGGGTCCGTCACTATATCCGCCTCACCGTGCAGCACGAAGAATGGCAGAGTAATCTACCGAGTATAGTAATGCATTCGAATCGAAAAGATTGATTCAGTTTCTAGAAAAGAACAATGCTTAATCTACTAACAAGAGAAAAACGAAACTCACGTATATAAGGAAAAATTTACTTCGTTAGAAAACTCATCCGCTTTCGCCTTTCAAATGACATTTCTCAATCAAAAATTGGATATCTAGATTGTTAGAAAAGTTGAATCGAAGTTTTTTCTATACACACGTGCACCTACTTTCGAGGTATGATAATAATCGATAACCATAACCTCAATTTGTTCGTCTCGCCATTGGCTTCCAATTTAAAAGATCAACTCAATGTGGCTAATTGAGTTAGAAAAAAAAAATTGTGTTAGAAGAGACAAATTGTCAACTTTCATGTACTTTGAGAGATAATTTGTCAAGGAAAAAAGTTTGTAAGGCAAAGTCTATATGCAGACATATATTTGGGAGGTAAAGAAAAATTTTCCCTATATATAAAAACTTTTGCAATGAATGTATGAGTATTATAGTGACCTCATTCAAACTCTCCTCAAGTTTCATGCTAGTTCTGAGCATCTCTAGCGCGGTTTTCAATCTGGGCTTCTGCTGATATATCAATTTGTTGCCACGAACCTGCAGAAAAAAACGAACAAGATACACGCTTGCAATGATATTTATTTATTTGTTTCTTGATCAAAATTAACATGTACATTTAACTTCAAGTGTTGTTATAGTTCTTGTGTTTTAACCTCTTCACGTTTAATAGGGTCCTTGAAAGCCGAATCAATGACATCTTTTGCAGGAACTATCTTCCATTTTGGGATCACATCTTCCACAGTTGTTAGAACGCTAATAACTATAGGGTGTGGCTTCACCTTCTCGTTGATCTAACATTGCAAGAATTTAAAAAATCGAAACCAAAATCACGTATTAATATTGGTAAATTGCAAAAGAAAACATAAAAACAAAAGAAGAAAAAGAAACTGAAAATCACTTGTATGTATATATATGTAAGTGCTTACAGATGATGAATAAATACGATAAAAGATAGTAATGTTTTGTGTATAACCTTACACATGGGGGCGACTAAAAGAGCGCCATGCCAGAAAGTAGGGTCTTTCTTGTGTGTTAACAGAGCCACTGCTCCACCCATTGACTCCCCATATAAGAACCTTCTCTTTCCCTTGTACTCTTCCTGTGCTGAATCAAAAAACAAATGTCCCAGTTTAAATCTCAAGAATATGAACCTGTTTTAATGCATCCTCGATTGGTTTATCTGTATATCGGTTGGAAAACAAGAACGCAGTATTCGTATTTGGAAAGATAATTAGAGTTGTATTTCCCCCCCTTTCCAATTACATTGTCTTCTGTAATTGTTGTTGTAGGCTATGTTTCGGTAAAACTGGCTGATAATTGATTTTCGAGCTTATAGTCGAAAAGCTAGCTTAATGATAAAAGTATTTGGTACAATTAACTGAAATAAAAATGTCTACAAGCTTATATTTAAAAGTTACCCAAAGAAGCTTATGATATGACCTCAAGCTTTTTAAAAGAGTTCGGCCTACCAAACAAAGCTTATAAGCTAGTAACCAAATAATCTCTTATAAGCTATAACTTATTTGGTTACCAAACATAGCCGTAAATTATCAAAAGATGTAGCATTTCAACTATCAAAAGATATCCCACTCCAATCACCTACTTAACATTAACTATAACAACAGCAAAATGCAATTCATTAAAAGAATATTTGACCAAACTTTGCAAGAAACCTTTGACAGATTCAAAAAAAATGTGAAATGGTGGGGGTAGTTAGGTAAACTTACTTACCACAAATGGACTTGAAATGTGAACTACAGTCCTGGACAATGTTGTCAAATCTCTTGATGTAACAACGAGCGCCCATGGACCGTCCGTGGCCTTCGTAATCAATGCCGAAAACAGCAAAACCGTGGCTAGCCAGCTTTGTCCCAACACCTAACCACAATTTGGTTAGCTACCTAATCAGATAAATAATGCCTGGAAATGAAGTTTAAACTTTAATAAACAATAAAGAATTGCCCTTCCTAAGTATACTAAAAGTGACAAGTAATGAAAATTTGAAAAAAGAAAAAACACACACACACACACACAGCAGAATATGGCGAGCAAGAAGTAATAAACAAATTTAGAAGAAAGAATCCAAGACAATTTACTAAATTATCCTTGTGTGGTAGAAGAAAGCTGGTGACAGGTCAGCATGTTCAGATATATAAAGTAGATGTCTGATAACCTAATCAACCAAACAAAGACACCAAAAGTGTTATCTAGAAGCAGCAGTCAATGGTTACTCAAATTATTTCAAAGTTGAATAATGATATGCCTACATATACAGTTATATGTAGAATTGAAATAAAAGATCAACAGTAGAATAGTTACTGCACTTGCCAAGAAAAGGAATAAATTAAACAAGGCAAAATAAAACCCAAAAAAAAAAATGTGTAATTTAGAGTACCAAACTCAAAACTATAGAATTAACCAATAAGAAGGAATAATTGTCAACTGTAACAGGGCATGGGCATTCTGCATCTCTCTCTCTCTCTCTCTCTCTCTCTCTCTCTCTCTCTCTCTCTCTCTCCCTCTCTCTCTCTCTCCCTCTCTCACTCACACACACACACACACACTCTATTGTACTATTGTAAGTTTGTAAAACATTAAATTACAAGGGTCTCTTGTTTTGTTGTGCTGTTAACAAAATTAATCCTTTGTGTGTGCTACCACTTCACATGCAAATTGTAAGATAAAGAAAGGAATTGAAAGATAGGAAAGTTGAGGGACTTCAACGATGAAAGAGTAAAGTGTTATATGCAAATTGAAATGGGGAAAAAAAAAATTGAGAAAGTTCAGGGACTTTAATGAAAGAGTTTATACAGCCTTTTATGCAAAAGAATTTCAACGCAAGAATTATATAACTTATATAATCTTGCATATAAAGGGAAATATATACATATTCCCAGTAAAAAAAAATAAAATATTCAAATGAAGAAAGCCCAAATTAAACAGCTCGTTTTATCATTAATAGGGTAAGTTTGATCACAAACACACAAAACAACCAAAATTTAAATGGCTCGTTAGATCAACAAAATGTGATCCCATAATGATAAAAACCCGACAAATAGATAATGTTAGCTTTTCAGGAACACATCACATGTAAAAACATTCACCTTTCATGAAATTACTGCACTCCATGCCGTAACCTGCAAACAAAACCAACCAATGCCATTTAATATCAGTTCAAAAAATATACACAAAGCACGTGAATATGTGTTTGTGTGTGTGTGCGTGTGTGTGTGTGTGTGTGAGAGAGAGAGAGAGAGACCATGGCAGAGAAAAACCAGAGCTTTTGGAGAAGAAAGAGGCAGCCATCTGCAAGTGAATTGCTGCACACCTCTTGAGTTCTTCACATACTCCTGACAAATTTAAATTAAAAGGTAAAACTAAAAGTGCCACATTATTACACCAAGAAATAACATAAAAATGCAATAAAAGCAACACAAAAA